GCCAAGTAGCTGGAGTCATGTTTTGTAATGAGCTCGAGGCGTGTAACTTGGCTAGTTGGCCAAGTAGCTCGAGTCATGTTTTGTAATGAGCTCGAGGAGTGTAACTTGGCTGATTTTATGCCAAGTAGCTGGAGTCATGTTTTGTAATGAGCTCGAGGCGTGTAACTTGGCTAGTTGGCCAAGTAGCTCGAGTCATGTTTTGTAATGAGCTCGAGGAGTGTAACTTGGCTGATTTTATGCCAAGTAGCTGGAGTCATGTTTTGTAATGAGCTCGAGGCGTGTAGCTTTGCTGATTTTGTGCCAAGTAGCTCGAGTCATGTTTTGTAATGAGCTCGAGGCGTGTTACTTGGCTGATTTCATGCCAAGTAGCTCGAGTCATGTTTGGTAATGAGCTCGAGACGTGTTACTAGGCCATGTTTTGGCCAGGTAGCTCAAGTCCTGTTATTTATGAGGCAGTCTCGATAAAAAAGGAAAAAAAACAACCACCCACCCACCCACCCTGCTGTGTGTGAATCTAGTGAGAGTATGTGCAAATGATGATGTACAAACAGCATCACTCTTAATTAATGGTGAATCAATTAACCAAGTTGTCAATCCGAATCTTATTTCAACAAATAATGATATTCTTAGTGAAAATTACCGATAGTCGGCTTATGTGACATATATATGACAATTGTTATTTGATACATTAATATTATAATTTTATTGCCTTATACATCAAATAACGACTACCATATGTATGACACGTAGACCGACTATCGATAATTTTCACTATAAATAGCATTACCCTATTTCAGATCATACGAATACTTATGATACCTACTATTGATTTTTATCTCGATAGGTGTAATATATATATATTTGGAAATAACATTCTATTTTATTGACGACGATTCAAGATATAAACGTGTAATGTGTTTCCAACACCGACACAAAGTAAAAGTGTCCATACTTTGGCATGGATAAAATAGCTCTAGACCGTCAATAAAATGACCGAATAGTGTCAGTGTTAGTGTGAGATACGTACTCGACACCGACATCTAGGAGTATCCATGCTTCGGCATGGCTAAAGGTACCTTCAGACCACCAATAAAGCCCGGATAACAAGACGACCTTCTAGAGCTAAATTTTGGAGCAAAGTAGAAAACCACAGAAAGAGCATCATATAAAACAAACGTCTGTTGTGCTTTACAGATCACTTAAAAAATCAAATAAGCTGAATTTTAGCAGAGCAGAAATTGATTCAAACTACAAAAGAGTAATCAGAAAGTAACAAGATAATTTGCAAATTACTAGCACAGTTTCATCTCTTCAACATAAGAAAAATGTTGTGGGAGTACAAAATGGATATATATGACAGAAAAAAAAAAAAGAAGACAAGTGCATTGCTGGTATAAGTTAAAATATAGATCTACTCGCTATAAGGTGTGCCAGCATTGTTGATTTCCTTAAAAATTGCAAATATTTGCTTCAATTAGATGTTCATATTATACTTACAAGGTCAAGGTATTTCCTTTGGTGACGACCTGCTGGTTACCTGTACTTTTGGCTTTAGCCAACTTTTTCTTTTCTTCCTTACAGCTTTGGGAACTTTATGCTTTCTAGCCCCCTCTTCTCTTCTTTAACTTTCTTCTTGTTCTCTTTCCTGGCTACTTTTCTGTCAGATGGCCCCTGCTTATTATTGCTTTCAGAAGATGAATCTTCTGATTCACTTGAACCGGTTTGCCTTTCGTCACTTCCAGTCTCCGAATCTCCTCATGGCAAGTCAGGATGTTCAGCAGCCTGAGCAGAGGTCCCCGTTTACTGGATTTCCATTCGCCTGATGCTGCTTTGCTTATGCTTGAGAAGAATTGGCCATAGAAAGAGCCTGCTTCAAACCTGTAATGGTCTGTTAATACATGTCCCCCGTATCCTTGCCACTCGTGATTCGTTGCACGTCATCCTCAGCATTCTTCACGTGATCCAGTGTCTTTGGGATGAACGACTAGAAAAACAAACAAAACTTAGCATTGAGAGAGAGAGAATTCATTCATCATTTTCCTAAAAAAATATATCTAGATTTTGAGCTTCAGACGGGAGGGAGAGTTTCTGGAGATAAATCATAGGGGTGAAGTATGGTGTTATGGAGGGGGGTGGTGTTCAGGTGAGGTTCGTGGTTCTTATGGGGTGAGCCTGTGGAGGTATACCAGGAAATGATGGAGTGAACTTCAGAATAGATTGACTTTTGTGGTGGGGAACGGTACGAATGTCAGTTTCTGGAATGATTGTTGGTGAGGAGATCAATCGCTAAAAGCTCGGTTTTGTTCCTTGCATCGCATTGCTTTGGAGCCTTCTGCTATGGCGAGTAATGCTATGGCTAATTATAATGGGAGTCCTAGCTGGAACATCATTTTCGGAAGGGGTTTGCATGACTGAGAATTGGATGATTATGCGTTGTTTTTGGCCTCTTTATATGATGCGCACATTGAGGTTGGGGTAGAGGATTGTAGCAGATGGAGGGTGTCACGGAATGGTATTTTCTCTGTTCGCACTTATTTTAGATCCTTATTGGAACCTGTGGAGAGTTCTTTCCCTTGGGAAAGGATCTGGCAGTGTAAATTACCTCAAAGGGCGGCATTTTTACTGTGGACGGTTGTGATGGGGCAGGTGTTAACGACGAATAATCTTCGAGTAAAATGATGTTATATTACGGAATGGTGTTATATGTGTAAGAGGGATGGGGAGACGATCTATCACTTGTTCATTCAGTGTGACGGTGTTCGTTGGCTATGGAATGATATCCTGACTTCGCAACATATGAGTTGAATGTTGTCAAGTCGTATAGAGGAGGTGGTGCGGGCATGGAGGAGGAAGCTGCGTGATAAGAACTGCAAACTTGTTTGGGATCTCATTCCAGGTTGCGTTGTTTGGTGTGTATTGAGAGAGAGAAACGGTCGGTGCTTTGACGATCAAACAAGGACGACAGAGCAGTTTAGGAAATTGTTTTATTTGACTTTGTAAACTTGGTTCAATGCTGCAACCACTAGTTCGATAGAAGGGTTGCCTAATTTTTTAGTGTTTTTATTTTATTTAAACTGATAATGTACTCCTTGTGTATTATCTTTTGATTTTAATTTATAAAATTTCATGATTACCTAAAAAAAAAAAAAAAAGCTTCAGATGAAATAAAGACAAAACACAATTAGCCAAAAAGGTAACAAAAGACTTGCCCAAATCATTAACACGGTGTCATACTATCATCAATTACACTTTTGGGTTTTATTCAAATAAATAAAATAAAGAATATATCCAATACATTGCGGGTAATCAGGAATTGACCATTCAATAGAAATTATTGATCTTGAGCAAGCATAAACTCGCCAACAATATAATCAGGTAATGAGATTCCAACAATCATTAAACAAGCCTTAAAACTAATAAAATAAAAATCCAAAAACAGAACCCTGTTCCTACTAAGTTTTACACATACTTTTTCACCACTCTAGGTTCATTGCTAGATCTACTGAGGACAGCGTCGAAAAACGATTTGTGTCACTGGCCACAAATTTATTGGGGAAAGTTCATTGCAGAGAATTTAAAAGAACTAATGAGCAAAAAGGGAGAAGGAAAAAATGAATTCCACTGAAACCTGAACAAATACAGAATTTGCAATTTCTTCCTCAGCAGAGATCACATCACCCCTAGCCAAAAATTTTTGTTGCACCTGTAATAAATCAGAGAGCAATTACAATGAAGCTTTAAGTATTTGTCATTACACCATAGATCTTGGACATGTACCTCTTCAAGATAACTGTCCACGGAATCATCATCAATTGTAGGATCCACTATAAAATCAAACAGTTCCCGAATGGTCATAACAACTATGCCATGTTTTCTAAAGAAATCCTGCAGGCCACCACTTGCTCAATTTAATCAACATCACTAATTGCCGTAACACTAGTTCATTTGCATGAATAATTCAACTGAAAACCTTGATACTTAATTTAACAAAAAAGAGAACTCACTGAAACATGAATACAATCCTCTCGGAGGAAATCAGGGGCATGTGGATGGTCAAGATCAGCTGATTGCGAAACATCAATAATGTACAAGTGTCCCTGCTCAGGAGAAATTATCAGAAATTATTCATAGTCAATTTTACAGTGTTTATGAACCAGAGAAAATAAAGATTTACCTCAAAATAGAGTATGTTATATTCACTGAGGTTTCCATGCACCAGTTTACACTTTTGATATAACGTTCGCATGGCCATGATCATCTGGCAAAGATGACAGAAAACAGTTAAACTCAAACTTCTCTTTCTTTTTATGAAATAAAAAACAGAAAGAGAGTGGTTATGCCCTTTTCACAAGTCATCAGCAGTCCATTGACAGTTAGCCCATTTATTTGAAGCCAAAGAGAAAGTTATGTTACAGTGGAGCCTATAATAGACAGTTTACAATGTTACCCTTCCGATAGATCGTTATTCTTTGTGGAACGGTTTTACCTAGTGAAAATTGGGATACATCAGGAGTAGGCTGAATAACTTTTTAATTTGATTTGCTGATAGACTAAAAGGATTGCCATCAAACTTTCATGATAAAGGAGGTCTTTTTATGATAAAATTTCAATTCAACATTTTGGACTTATAAATATAAGGGGGAAACTATAGAAAATAACAATTCTATTAGCAAAACTCAACATTCAAGATCAATGGTGTACCAAATTTCCTAACAATCTCCCAAGTTGAAAGTAGTTAGTGATTTTTGATAGGTCAGGTTTTGACAACATTGACCAATAAATATCAGTTTGATAACACTTGTAGCCATGCTCATCATGGATATTCAGCATCAATAAATCGAAGACTAAAATAAGATGATCAGATGAATGTAGCTTATACAAAGCCAACTCATGTCATCAGTCTACATACCCACTCTTTATTTGGAGATCGAACTAGTTGTCAAAATATAAAGAACCTAATAGAAAAATATGTGAGCCTACCTCCACATAGCCTTCACGTAACTCGTCAAGAGATAAAGCAGCATCCTTGAGCCGAGGCGCAGCCCAACCTGCCTTGCCTGTGATAAAAAGAAATTCACCATTACTTCTAACCAATGAAAGCAAAGATACTCGAGCAGAACATCAAGGCAATACCTATGAATTCCATAACCAGAACATGAAGCCTCAAAAGAAGTGGAGATGGACACCTGATTCCTGCAGCCCTTAATCTGCAGTTCACCCACAAGAACTAATGAAACTGAATCACAACAGAGAAACAATAATAATACCTATATATGTTTGACATAATCCTTTCAACCTAATTTTGGCTCTAAAAGAACCTACAAGTCTCCATCAATTTGTAACATTTATTGAAACTAAACCTTCATATAAACTTAATTCCATGATTAACTACTATAGCGACAGTCAATTGATTAAAGTAGCGTTGCATAGAAACCAGTGTGAACGTAGCCCCTGTTTAGGATCCATTATATTGAGTTTTTGGCAACAATGTATTTTGGAATAGTGATTTTTTTGAAAAATGTGTGGTTAGAAAAGAAGGAAAAGTTTTTGGTTTACGTGTAATATTATTTTATTTAAAAATATGTGGTTAAAATGAGGAGAGGGAAAAATATATTAAATTATAATGGAGGAAAAATATATTAAATTATAATGGAGACCAAACATGGCTATAGTGTTTAGACCAACAGGACCATGGTCACCCATCTTTTCCAAATTGCAAGTCACCAGTAAGAATTGTTTTAACTTGACTGTACACCATCAAATCACGATCTTAAATCCCAATATTTTCCCAAAATAAAAAGCTACGAACTTTTTGCCTCACCCCCATTAGGAACATTCAACGAATCACAGTTTTCTATAGATTGCACTTAATAAGCAAAAGTTTCAAGTCTTATACTTGAAAAAGTCAATAGAAGGGCTATACAGTTTGAACATCAGAAGCAATTATACTATATATCTTCAAGGTAACAAGAAGTATAATAAAGCCAACATCGTATTTACCTCATAAGATTCCTCATCTCTTTCTCAGCCCAAGTCTTAACCATTTTTCAAAGATCGTGCTTGCAATATCCATATCTAAATCGATAGTCACCTTGTACATAGCGACCTCTGTCCCTGTTTTTTGAAGCAGCGATATAAGCAATAGTGGTACGCAGATCATGTCCAGAGCACAATTACAATGCAAGACCTCAGGCTATAAAATAAACCACGTGACAAAACTGATGCATTAGTGGTATAATTGAGAACCACTAGAACGAGCCAGAAACTTCTACCTCCATTTATATATTTTATTTATATTTAGAATTGATTGGCATGAATCATATTTTTCCACTTAAAGGTTGAACTTTGAGAGGCAAAGCATTTTTTTTTGTTTTTGCAGCAAATTATTTATAGAGTTGAACAAGAATTTCATAAGATAAAAGAAAAGATAAACGTGATCATAACTATGAAATGAAATATTTACTCACTAGACAAGATTATGATCTAAACAGATCTTGTTCCTCATATATAGAAGAGTTCACTTCAAAATTTCTGTACTTTAATAACAACCTTTAGAAACCAAATATCTAAAAGGGAGTCTGGGTCACCCCAGAAGTGAGTTAAGTTCTTTGAGGCTTATGCCTTCAAGAATGAGAGGTAGCTAGAACACAGTAAAAACTAGAGTAATGAGGTAGAAGAACACTTACTTAAACCAGGATCTAAAGCTTTTGCATCCATACAAAAAGCTATATTACACGCTTTAATGATAAAACAGTACTGTGGAGGCATTACAATATACGTTTCAGTGCTGTGGAGACGTTAACAATATACGGTTTTATTTGTTGTGTTACATGTTTCAGCGAAGAAGTGTGTTGCATTTTCTTATTTTTTTCTTTTTTCTACTGAGTTACTTCTACATTTCCTTTTCTATGACCAAATCAAGAAAATATAACACCACCAGATGCTCTATCTTGTGCTTCACCTTTGGTAATGCTGCTAAAAATAATAGACTACGCAAAAGGAAGAGTTATGTTTATAATTATTATTGAGAGCTAATAAACACTGTACCCTTTGAAACAAACAAACCAAAAGGTCTCAACATACTTGAATACAAGAACTGAAGTTTTGTAGACCATGATTGCCAGTTCCTGACAATCAGATTTTGTAGCATGATAAACATTGGCCTGTAAACGAAGAATAAACCGGAAGACAAGTTACATGAAGTTCTAACATGTGTGAATTTCCTACAAAATTGTAACGTGGAAAAATAATGATTGTTGAAAGGAGAGAGAAAAGATAAGAGGAGGAGAATTGAAGCCTTCAATACATGAAGTAGATACATACTTCTTTTCCAGTTGAAATGCATCCATTGATATTAGGCTCATTTTCATGGGATAACAGATATCATTAAATACACCTCGATTCAGCATTTTGAATAAAACCATACGAGTTCTAGGGTTAATAGCCTGAAAGTAAGATAAGATTTTTAAGCATGATGATAGTGGTCATAGTTTTAATTTTGCATTCATACTCCAAATTAACATGCTAACAATAAAATACAAGCACAAATATCAAATTTATGCTTTTAGTGTGGCATATCCAGGCTCACACTTATACGTAGAAAACGTTCCAGTTGAAATGCATCCATTGATATCATTAAATACACCTCGATTCAGCATTTTGAATAAAACCATACGAGTTCTAGGGTCAATAGCCTGAAAGTAAGATAAGATTTTTAAGCATGATGATAGTGGTCATAGTTTTAATTTTGCATTCATACTCCAAATTAACATGCTAAAAATAAAATACAAGCACAAATATCAAATTTATGCTTTTAGTGTGGCATATCCAGCCTCACACTTATACGTAGAAAACGTCTGGGTGCGATTGTCATGAGATTTCAAAATTGTTGAAGTAGACTAGTAAAACTTGTTAATCAGGCAACTCCATATACATGTCTGTGTCTGAGTGCTAGTGTGCAATAGAGATTATTTAACAAGGAAACTCGAGAAAAAAAAATAACAAGGAACAACTCAACATGCATGCTTCCTGCGAAACAAAATCATGATTTTAGACCACATGAACAACCTAAAACAGAAAAATAAAGATATTAACCATCTAAGAAATCAGTTAATCGTCATTAACCTGCTCAACAGTTGCACGATCTGCTTTTTCTGTTGTTTTTGTTTTACCAATGGCCATATCTCGTACACTTCCACGAATTGCAGTTGTCACAGAATTCGACATACCAACATTCAGTCTTCCTTCCCATTCCTGGACAGACAAATGAACTCCTTAAGAAGTAAAAAGCATGAAAACCCAAAGCAAACTGAAACTAACGATAACCAACTACAAAGACTTAGACTGTTAAATTGCGGAACGAAGTATTGAAAATTTTAAAACAATGCCAGTTAATGAGGAATACAATGATATAGAAATTTCACTTCAAGCCTGCACTTTCACTAACCCAAAAAGGACAACTATGTTTGCAAGCCGATGTGGAAGTTCCAAAGCTCAACAAAAATTCTATCCAGAAAATCATTGAATATATGGCTAATAGCAGGGTTCAGATTAAAAAAAAAAATGTTGCCCATGTCGAACTTGTGCCACATCAGAAAGGATAGACTATCTTTAAATCTAAAGAGCTAATGTGATATGAGAAAAAGTGCAAAAGAAAAGAAAGAAAAATGATTAAGCATATCAAATAAATACCAACTGGTAGTTGTGGTATACAAGAGAAATTTAGACTGCGTGAAGGTAATCCTAATGGGTTGATTGTTGATGGTATGGAATTTGATTCAATTCTGGGAAGTTCACTTGTGAATACGTAACGAAAGTGCGACGATTTGAATAGTACAAATGGTGTATTAAATGCATTGAAGGATCCAGATGATTACTCTATGTCTACTTTGATTTTCGGGTTTGCAAATTGCAGTAGAGTGAATGAAGCAAGAAGAATATTTGAACTCGTAACTAATCCTTGTGTTGTGATATGGAATTCAATTATTACATGATACATTGCCAATGATGATTCGATGGAAGCTATATTATTATTTGATAGGATGCACAATGAGGGTGTCAGGGGAGGCACGTCCACTATGTCTAACATTTTGAGAGCCTGCAGTAGTATAGGCATTCTGGAAAATGGCATGCAATTGCATTCTCATGCATATAAGTTAGGAATTGCGTTTGACCTTTGTTGTTGCTGGTGCTCTTATTGATGTATATGCCAAATGTGAAAGTCCTAATGATGCATGCAATTTATTCAGTGACCTTAAAACTTATTATGCTGTTTTGCTTAATTCAATGATCACCATTTATTCGACTTGTGGGAGAACTGAAGAAGCAAAATGCATTTTTAATAGTATGCCATTGAAAAACTTGATTTCATGGAACGCCATGATTGTGGGTCTGAGTCAAAACGGACTTCCAATCGAAGCATTAGATATATTCGGCAAGATGAATAAGACGAACATGAGTATGGACAAATTCAGCCTTGCCAGTGTGATCAGTGCATGTGCCTACATTGCATTACTTGAACTCGGTGAACAAGTCTTTGCCAGAGCTACCGTAATTGGCCTTGACTTTGATCGGATTATTGCTACCTCTCTTATTGACTTTTACTACGAGTGTGATTATGTCGGAAGTGGCAGAAAACTATTCAACCAAGTGGTAAAATTTGACGAGGTTTCTTGGAATTTTATGTTGATGGGTTATGCTATAAATGGTTATGAAATTGAAGCATCGAGTCTATTTCATTAAATGAGGTGTGTTGGAGTTTTATCCACTAACATCACATTTACTGCAGTTTTGTCTGCATGCGATCATTGTGGACTGGTGGAAGGGGGGAAAAGTATGTTTCACATAATGAAACATGACTATCATATTGATCCTGGTATAGAGCACTACTCTTGTATGTTGATCTTTTTGCGCGAGCAGGTTATCTTCAAGAAGTTATAGATCTTATTGATCAGATGCCTTTCAAAGCAGATACAAGCATGTGGTCATCAATTCTGAGAGGGTGTCTAGGTCATGGAGATAAACCTCTTGCTGAGAAAGTGGCCCGGCAGATTATGAAACTTGATTCTAAGAACTCGAGTGCTTTTGTACAGTTTTCGAGCATATTGGCCTTGGCTCTGGTGAGGAAGTTGATGGTAGACGAGAAGATCCAAAAGAATCTTGCTGAAGTTGGTGTGATCTAGGAACCACAGAATGCCGATGAATCTCATTAAGGTTAGATTCTCCATCATGACTCTAAATGCACTTACATTTTATGTTATCCTTATTTACAGTAATATTTTGGTCCCCTAAAGCACAAAAATGTTGTCATCTTTTGATTCCATAATGATTTGTAATATAAGGTGAATGAATATGAATATAGGGCAAGAACCATTAGTTTGCAGATCATGAATCAAAAAGATCTTTTACGTTTAGATATATTTTCCCTAACCACCAAATTATTCAATTAAACTAGTTCCTTGACAGCCGTAAACCATCATTTTCATGGCGTTCAATTCAATTTTGCTTTTAAACTTTTAAAACTTTTTTTTCCTTTTTTTTTTTGTAAAAAATAAATTTTCTTCTTCACAGGCTGTAGCATTAGAAAACCACACCATAGTCACAACCAGAAAATTTACAAAATCTGCCTTAAAAGTTTAAAAGCAAAATTGAATTGAACGCCATGAAAATGATGGTTTATGGCTATCAAGGAACTAGTTTAATTGAATAATTTGGTGGTTAGGGGAAATATATCTAAACGTAAAGGATCTTTTTGATTCATGATCTGCAAACTAATGGTTCTTGCCCTCATGATCACAGTCAAAATAAAATTTATTTTAATTGTTTATTTAAT